AGACGAACACAGGGCGTGAACTTGCATGTCACAATAGCGGGATTTTTGTCATGTGACATCAGATAGGTTAATGGATCCTCTAAGAATTAATTACTAGATGGCTGCTATAATGTGTATGATTACTTGACTGTCTACGTATGTAATTAGTTTCAGATTTGTCTGGAAATGACATCGTGTAAGAAAGAATGGCCTTTTGATGAGAGAGAGAGAGAGAGAGAGAGAGAGAGAGAGAGAGAGAAGAATATGTCATATGTTTTTTTATTTCAAACCTAACTTTCATGTCCAATCTGCATTTAGATTCCATAGGCTTAAGTGTCATTATTTTTACTCAAACACGTATTTCCTACTAGCTGTCCCTGTAGCGCCAAATTTAGACCCCATTTCCAACTGCAAAATTCATACGTGTAAAATCCCTCTATTCAATGCATGTTCAAATATCAAATGGACAAAAACACAAGCTTTATTAGGACAGAATTTGTATAAATTTGTGTGGTTTAGGTTTGAAATAGCTACAGATCTGCAGTTCTCCGGAAAAAAAAATACATTGACAGACCGAAGAGCTACAGTGCCACCCATTGTAAAAACTGCATGTTTATTGCGCACAAAAAGTTGCTCTTAGTTCTGGGTCATTTCTTTCAAATTCTTACCTTAATCGAGAAAAAGATAGATTTCAAAAAATTCTTACTCCTCTATGAAATACTCTCGTAGTTGACATATCCATGAAGTGCGTCGGGCCGAAGTATCTTGCAAACATAAGTGGAAGTAGAAATAGACAATATTTTCGATGATCTCGATTTCAGGGCCAGGAGGGCTATTAACAACAATTTTAAGGAATGTTTTGTTAATGAAACAGTGAAAGAATACGTTAGAAACATACCATTAGTAATATTTTGAGATGACAGTTGGAAAACTTGAGGAACATGAAATAAATCGAAAAACAGCGCACTTTTCTGTGCGCAATAAATATACTTTTTTTTCAATTGGTGGCGCTGTAGCTCTCCCGTCTGTCAACATATTCTTTTCGGAGAGCTACAGATCTGCAGCTATAGGTAATTTGAAATTAATGTCATTATCATGTTGTAAATTTTGAATCCCCTAGAAAATCAAAATTTACAACATGATAAAATGACTTGTCAGTTTTAGAAGCATTGTCCTGCTGATTAATTAGAGACAATTTATTGATATCTTATTTTTTTCTTAAAAAGAAATCAATCTACAATTATGGTCTCATTTGGTGTTGAATATGAAGCCTCGGTCAATATTGATATTTTTCTGGTGAATAACAAACCATATTCAACACCGAAATTAATATATATATAGTCCGGATTACCTCATATTAATTTACGAATTAATTTCCGTCGTCAAAAGAAAAAAATAAATAAATAAAAAATATGTCCAGATCAAGTTACAGTTTATAACCTCCGTGTTTTCCTTTCAGAGTTTTTCTATGTGTAAGACGACCATTTAAAAAAAAATAATAATCCTGCGATAGGTTTATCTAACACTTAATAAGTTTTTTGCAAAAATTTTAACATTTTTCCATGTCCAAAAATATGATGACATTAATTGCCGTCTTTATGCAAGAATTTCTTTTTTTAAAGCGCGTGGAACATATAAGGATTTATGCCTGAAAGAGCGATATATGTGATATATGGTAACTGTCTCAATTGGCCCCTTAAAATGGATATCTTAATTTTACTTTATATATATATATATTTAATTTGTACAGCTATATATGCGACCTTTATTGGTCATTTTCATTTTGATCAAATTGCCGTTATTTTAGAAATATGACATCATAAAAATCACGTTTTCCCGCCATTTTAGCATATTTAGTATAAAACTGCTTATTTTCAAACAGTTTTTCTTCCAGAAAATATAGAGCGCAGCCTAGAACAAGCTTTATATTTTTACCAAAGATGTATCTATCCAATACTGATTAGTGACAGAAAAATTATGTATGTTGTACACTGCGCTCTATGTTTCCCATAAGAAAAAATATCAAGAAAAAGGCATATTTTTGGCTTTTTCGTTAGATAGCAAAAATAGCATTATTTATCATGTCATTTACAGCTAGGGCGTGCATATAAATGTGAAAAATATATTGGAAATATTTCGAATTTAATCTCTTCTACAAAATAAATATCAATTAAACATATCTAAATGTCATTCTAAAATGTTGATTTTTAGGGGGCCAAAATTGGTTCTTATCATATATACTCCTTTGATAAAAAGATGAATTTCTGTTGATATGCAAGAGCGCGAACACGTCACCACTCATCCGAATATCCCGTGATACACCCCCCCCCCCCAAAAAAAAAAAATTGTTCAACAACTGATACATATACTATCAATCATATACTAGTATTTGCCCCAATAAACTGTTTCAGCAGTTGCATGTAAACTAATGTATCGCGGTTGCATGTCGACCATAATCAGCTGTTAATGCGTAGGGCTGTAACAATATATCGATACGTATCGATATTCAAGAATAATATCGTATCGAAGAATAACTTCCAATACGTATTGGACAAACAGTTTTTCTTCTAATTCTGTTAGAAAGATGGGAACAATCACCAAAGATTATAAATTTCACTTTTCTGAATTAGAACTGTTCAATAATTATATACATGTATATATATATAATTTGTAAGAGAATAACACAGTTTTTATAATTATTACAAAATACAAAGATTTTTTTTTAAACATGTTGATTTTATCGTCATTAAAAGTTTTAATTTGAAGTGTTATTTGTAATGATAATGAGACAAGAACTTTTAAAATGAGTAATAAAATGCTTAATTGTTACTAAACCCATGCATTAATATGACTTAGAAGCTTTTTTCTGATGGACTTGTTTTAGAATCCAATATATCGCATCGTATCGAAGTTTTTGACTCTATACACAGCCCTAGCTATTAATAAGTTACATGTCTTACATGTCTGTCTGAATTGCAAAACGCGAATTGTTAACACACAACACGCACGTAGCATAGTTGTGTGTTAGTACTAACCTTTATAAGTTAACAAACAAACAAAAAAAAGAAAAAAGAAAATAAATCCTATTTCGGAGGGGGGAGGGCTGACGCACAACACGCTAACACGAGTTCGCACAACACACAGACGCGCCAACACACAACACGCCGTCGCGAGTTGTGTGTTAGTGCGAGGCGTGTTGTGCGTGACAGCGTGATATACAAACTCTTGATAGCGTGACAGTATGTTTTGTGTTAGCGCGTTGAGCGTGTTTTGAGAACTCGTGTTAGCGTGACAGCGTGTTGTGTGTTAGCGAGTCAGCGTGTTTTCCCGAATTACGCACCATTGAGCTTTAGCAAATGACCCTATCCGGACACAGATGAAGGCGATATTTTAGAATTTATCAAAAGTTTCAAAATTCCTATCTGACCACACCGTTTTCTGACTTGTTGAAATATTCAATTTTGTTAAGGACAGACGAGACGTTCCTTAATAATAAATTAATTTTTCTAAGAGTTTGTCATTGAAGTATTGCTACTTAAACATGTTTACTAACAAAAAATTTCCCGTACTTTACCAGGCATTTAATAAAATTATGTAGAAAATAAAGTTTTTTCATATAATCCTTTGAAATCACAGAAAAATAATTTTCCGATTTCAAATGTTTAAGTGTTTGGATTTATTAAAAACGTTTAGAAACTGGCTTAGAAATTAGAATATTATTAAAATTTTGAATATTTTTCATATATTACGAAGATATACAAAACAGATTTTGAGGAACGTCTCGTCTGACCTTAAATGTTGTATATTTACATGTATGTTGCATGCCGACATAGTGAAATTATATATGCTGGCATATATGCTAAACTATTTTATTACTTTAGAAAAGTTATAAGTACAGTGTATTAACTTTTTGGATTGAATGCCATATTAGAGACATGTTATTTATATCTCTGCTCATATGAATTTTTTTTTACCAATTTTAAGGTAATAAAATCGCTTGATGTGAATTTTCATAAAATTAACAGTTAATTTTAATCAAGCGAGTTTATCACGTGTAGATCCGAATCCACAAAGTTGTGTAAATTTATCCATAGTATTTCTTTAAAGTTAAAATTAAAGTTAATCATATTATTATAGACAAAAATGTCAAATCGCCAATATTTTTGCAGAAAAAGCGAATTGGAATATCAGCAATGCATTTTCTAATTGCAAATTGATCAACAGATATATTTATTAAAAAACCATAACGTATCCAGGCATTTAGAGAAATTGTCATGATTTTTATGCTTATTTGGTACTTTTTTCTTCTATTTTTCTTCATATATTTCTAAAATACAGTTTAAATAGGCTTTTGCTATCAATGAAAGACACCAAAAATCACTCTATTTTCACAAAGCTAATATCATAAAGCTGGATTAAAGGAATCTTAATTTTTTAAATTTATAAATTTTTTTCCCTTTTTATAGGGTATAAAAGTCAACTTTTATATTTACATGTATGTTGCAAAAGCCTTCAACATAAAGATGAAAAAATATATTGTTGCATATGCTAAAAATTTTTTCAAGCTTCATTTTTGTATTTCAATAAAATATTTAAAATTCGAAGTTATCCTTCCTGGCTGAAGAATTTTTTTACGGATTTTAATGCCTAAATTATCGGAGGGGACGACCTACGCCTCACGTCGGCGTAGGAGAGAAAAATCTGCATATAGCCGCTTTTTTCATCTGGAGAAAAAAATGTATGTATATTGTGTGATCCGCACCCCCTTCCTTTCTAAGGTCACAAAACACATGAGCTTTCACACATCCATACACACACTAATCAAATAGCAACTCCATTCAAACATATCTGAGGGGCTCTATTTAATTTAGTATGTATGATATTCCTATCGGTCATTGGTACCAAGTCCACTAAAAATAAATCTTTTCTGGCAAGTATGTTGACCTATTCACGGAAGTTGTAGGGAAAGTAGTTGCGCAATGATCGATTGCGCAGAATATGCAAATCACCCGTGACAACAACTACGTCATCAGGTGCCCCCGATGCGAGGAATATTACCTGCTAAATATTATTTGTTTTGGTTTGAAAATACAGCTGTTCTTACAAGTGAAACACAAAATGAGGCGATTAATAGTTTAGATAATAAGCATTGGAATGTGTGTCAAGCTCTGGACTATATGATCGACAATAACAAATTCGTTTTTGTAGCGGATCTTAGCCGCGATAGTGCCTTACGCTCGTAGTAGAAGTGCATACATCCAAAATGGACGTCCGTCAACCCATTGAGATCGACCCAGATTTTGAGCCACAGCAGCGAGTGCGCTGTAATACTTGGCCCTGCCGTCCACAGGAGGATGTGGTAGAGGCCCAGTGTTCCCCTGTGTCGGACGAATCGACAGCAGACAATCATGTGAAACCAGACAATCTGGGCTTGAATAAAAAGACTTCGTCTCGGCGCAATGCATGGGGAAATCTATCCTATGCTGACCTAATTACGAAAGCGATACAAAGTTCTGCAGAGCAGAGACTGACATTGTCACAAATTTATGATTGGATGGTACAAAATGTGCCGTATTTTAAGGATAAAGGTGACAGCACGAGTTCGGCAGGGTGGAAGGTTAGTATTTGGTGTCGCATTCCTGTGGTTAATTTTGCCCTCTTTTGATCCTCGCCGAATGTTTGTTTTGACTGTGTGACGTAGCGGCTCTTACCACGTGTTTACAACTGTCCCGTTATAATGTTTCATTTCGTTCTCCAGAATATTATTTCTGGTAATTTCATTTTATTTCATTTAATATATTCATGTACATTTTTTGCATTTGAATATGCACGTCATAAAAGAATCTTTATCCAAATATCTTCAAGCCAAGAAATTTTATTTTAAACTAGGATTGACAAATTTATATACTTTTACAGCAAGCCATAAGTATCTATGAAACTGAAGATAATTTGGCTCTTTAGACCTTTTTTTCTTGACTTGGTCAACATGGTCATATTCAATTACTTTTGGAAAGCAGATGAATTTCCTTGTCATATCGTAGACTACCTGTCATGACCCCTCTGTCTATTATTTTTGGAGTAAAAAAAAAATCTGGTAAAGATGCATAATAATCAGGATTGCACACAGATATGCAGGGTTCTCCTTAAGAATTGAAATAGGATGGACATTAAAAATGGAGAAGGGTGATTTTGGGTTCCTCCCCTAACAAGTGGTTTAGGGGGAATACAAGAGTAGCCAGGGGATAACATCATTATAGGGGTAAATATTCTCCAGCCCATGGGTCTTAGAGACAACCCTGAATGTTGAATTCCAAACAGGCAAATTAAAAAAATTTTCCTGGCTGTCAATTTTTCAAATAGGATTGGAAGCAAATTGTTTTAACAATTCTGATATATTGAATTTCACCTGTGACTTATGTTAACTTAGTAATATTAAATAATAATTTTAAGTGAGTAAAGGCTCAGCATGACTAATGACTTCTGGATATACATGTCTGACTGTAGGCCTAGCTAATGACAGGCTGACAGATGGAACTCGTCAGCTATTGCAGAGTATCAGATTTAAATTGGATCACACAGGGCACATGGTCTGAAGATCAGAAAATTGCTGGCAATTTGTCTGAAGGAGAAATAAATTAACTGCTTCATATATTTTTCGGGAAATAAAAATGTTCAACAAATAAAAAGGGTCAGCAGAATTTTAAGAGTTGTGCAAAGTTTGGTTCAGTGTAATATTGAATGGGATGCAATCCCCCAATATAAAGAAATGACTTCTTTACACACATGTATGGTACATCATCCATAACTTCTTCAGACAGTACAGGTGGAACAGAAAATAATGTTAAGTAATGGTTAATTAATGCTGAGCTTGTCTAAGAGAAGTAATAGATTCATTATAATAAATTCTTCCCCAGGCACGTTTTTTTGTCCTAGAAAGAGAGCAAAATTTACAGCCCTGAATAGCAACATTAGGATAATTTTAGTATCAATGTAATATTCCTGTACTATTACTGTACATATGTATAGTACAAATCAAAGTGTCTTGCTGCTTCACACACAGGCTCCTGCTAACAGTCAAAACCTATTATCTCAAGTTCAATAGGACCGAGAAAGAACTGCAGCTATTTTCAATCATTCAAGGTTCCAAGGGAATAAGCGGTTGGAATTCCAATTTATTTTGTTGTATCCACGATATATAAGATTGTAAGTCCAAAGGTCAACTGAATTTAAGCTAAGCATCCCCTTTTTCAGAACCTGCTAGGTGTACAGGTGGCAGATATTTATTAATAAATAAAACCAGTAAAATGAGAAATGTATGTACAATTTGAATTTGTGTTTCAGTAATCAGTTGTTCTAATCACACCTTAATTTAGGAGGGAAACAGTGATTTACATGCTAATGAGTACATCATTTATTTAGTTTCAATTTATTTTCATCTGACTTAGATAGCAACAGTGTGCGAAAGTAACTTCAAATCCTATAGACTTTCGGTCCATAGACATTTCATTTTCTATAGACCGCAGCAACTTCCTATGGACCGAAATTTAGAATACTACATTCAATGCTAAAATATTGAAATTAAAATAAACGTATTTGATGTAAAATGGTGAAATAATTACACTTTCCAGTAGTTTTTGTACTGGATAAAAGATTACAACAAGAATCAAAAAACACGGTAAGACGACTGACTACAACAGCATTGATAAACGACTCAAACATTGAGAATGTCTGTCTGATAGACAAGAGTAATAATAATTCCCGGGCGTGCACCCTCAACATACTTTAAACGGTCGAAGAAGGACATGTTTCTTCTGCACTGTTTTGGTGTCCGCGGCCATTAAGTAATCACAACTTAACCTCCCCTCATGTTAAAAATAAAATATTCCGATTCGATTTATTTCTGCATACATCGTGGAACAAACTATTATAACTAAGGGGTGAACGGAATACATCAGTGTAATACAGGCGTTTTATTTAAACTGGTCCTCCTTTTTGTGGTTTGTTTATTAGAGACAAGCAGGGAACCAGTTTCTTACTCAGAATTCCTATAGACAAGTCGGTCTATTAATATTTCGATCGGTATAGACCGACTAGATTTTCTATAGACATTGTCTACCGGTCCACCGTTAATTTCGCACACTGTAGCAATTCATATTTTTTTTGGGGGGGGGGGGTTTGTTGTTGGTTTTTTTTTAACATAAATTGATTAAGATTGTGAAAAAAATATGATAATTAAAACTGCATAGATCATAAAGATTTAATTTATTCTATAAATCAAACTTTTATAATGTTAACTTGCAAAGCCATGTACTTGTCAATTAATAAAAGATATAAATATAAAAAAAAATTGGTTAAATAGGCTAAAAATTTGTGCAAGCAGGAGATCGGTGATTCTTTAAAGAAGGCAAGAAGAATGAAAAAAAAAAAGATTGTGAATGACTGAGTCCTATCCATCTGTTATTTTAACAGAACAAAGTGATACCTAGAATAGATTAGACACCTTCAGTGCTAGATGGTGCAGTCATTTCATTGGGGGCACATGAGGAATACATTCAAAAAGTAAATTAGTCAATTAATAAATCATGAGGCTTGTGAGAGGGGAATTTGCTAACAAATTATGTATGTTGATTTTTTATTGGATTAATGGTATCACTTTGTGACATTTCCTCAGCTGCAGTTTATTGCTACCAGTAATTTACAGTAAACTTTTCCTAATGCCAGTAATGGTGACCTGAATACTTTCAAGTCTTGTTGACATAATTGAGTGATTTATCAGGAAACTCTGTGGTAGGTTTAATTTGGCCCAATTACTTAAAAGGTTCTATCTTCAGAAAGACTATAAAAAACAAAATGCGTAGACCTATGAAACACTGATGCCCCCTATGGCAACTTATGTCGAGGGTTGAAGTTTCTCAAATGCTAGTCAAAATCCAATGGACAAAATTGTTAGTAACTAAAGGATGGGACCCCCACCCCCCTCCCAACACACAAACACATGTGTCTTAGGGACTACCTGTAAGTAAAATACATATTGAGAGATTTATTTACACTTTTTCAATGATTGAGCACATGCCATTCCAGAAATTTAGGTCTTGAGAATTCCATAAATAGAAAGCCAGGGTCAGAATCATTGGCCTTTATTGTATGACAAAATGATGTTACTTGGAGATGATCATGCAGTTATTCTGTATAATCCCATCTAGGCTTTGGTTAAATCTTGTTATATATGTACAATATAATATTCTGCAATAGATACAGCCTGTTCATGTAATATTTAAGTGAATCAATCTGGCTTTGAGATCAGGTAAACATCCACATACTATGCAGGTCAGGTGTGATTATGGCAGTAATGTGGTGTGTAATTTAAGTAGGTGCAGACTAAGCTATTGTTTATAACCCAGATCTAACAAGTCCTATGCCTGCTGATTTATAATACTTTATAAATGGGTCTGAAACCTCAACACCATTTCATAGAAAAAAAAAACAAACAAATTAAATGCATGCAGACCTACATATATCTATTTTAAGGATGACATTTACTCAGATGGCAAAAGAATTCCACTTTGCAATGAAAAGCAGTCCATTGTACATTGTAGACATATGATTATCGTGCTATTTTTCATTTTCAAATAAGTAGGTCAATGATCTACATTTCATGTGCAAGTTGCCCGCCTGACTATTTCACAAAAAATCCCATTATAATAATTTATAATAAAATGTTTTCAACTTGTTATATTTACATTCAGTGTAATTTTCCTGATAAAATCTATCAGAAATCCACGACGTTCAAATTTCTATAACACACGCGAAACCTTGTCACCTAGCGCTAGAATACACAGTAAGAACTATATGCATTTTCAATACTCTAGGAACACCAAAATGTAAAATGTTTTATTTCAATTAAATGAAAAACTATAAATCTAAAAAATAAACGTAAAAATTAATGTAATATGCGTTTAAAACTAATTTGTCACTTTTTTCCTCGCAATGTTTATTTGCGTTATTTAACTTTGCAACGTCATTTGACGTCACAATCAGCTCTTACATCTATTAACCACGGCAGTTTTTAAGGGCAATAAATTCACATTTACGATTAACTAAATAAGCATTTATGAAGAAGGAAAATTAGAGAATGTAAATATAAGCATTGAATTCATATTTTTGGATGTCTTCGGCCCTGTAACACACGTGGCCGTGCTGACAAATTATCATACCGCGCTAACGCGCGGTATTCAATTTGTCGGCATGGCCAGGTGTGTTATAGGGCCGAACACATCCAAAAATGTGAATTCAATGCTTAAGCAACCTCATTTTACTTTTGTAGTCCTTACTCTGCTGTTTAGAGTTCACGTTTTGAAGTCAGTTATATCCTTCAAATTAATCAATTTCCTGACCCTCCTACCCCCCCCCCCCCCAACACCAAACAGTGTAAACCATATTGTATGTGGAAAGATCTATGTGTACTGTCAATAGATAAGGCATGAATTTGTTGTACATTCCATAGATCTAAGAGTTCATCTCTAAATGCTCTAGCGTTGACAGTGCACTTTGAATAATGCACCGTATATATATATAGGCCTGAGCAATCTGAAAATGAAGTAAAACTACCATATCCCT